CCTTTTTCTGGCGTATTTAATAAGCAAACATTGCATTGCAATGTATTGTGCTTATCACAATTAATTCAGACCTGGCCAATTTTTTATTTTCAGAACTTTTAACCCTTTACACCCTAACATCAGTATGTATATTCTCCTTACAGTTATCTAAATATTTCCTAAGGTGCTGATGAGGAGAATTTGCTTAACAATCAAGAGCTTCTACAGTTGGTGATTACCTCTTTTATCCTTATAACCTTAATGTTTGATTCACAGGTGATATTGTGGGGGAAATTTGATGCTGGTCACAACTGGGAGTTAAAAAGGTAAATGTATACCACTTGTTCTTAGTTTTTTACTTTCATAGTTCTGTGACACTTTTTTGAGGTTGTGGAACACTTGTAACATGAGCCTCTGGGCAATGATAAGTTGGTTAATTAAAGCCCTCTCAGGTGGGCATTACTATAGATATTCAGCTGTAAGAAGTTTCCAGTTATATTAAGAACCCACAACTTGAAAAATTGACAATGTCTACAAGTCAGTTAAAAGATCAATAAATAGTCTTGGTGATTCACATATGCACAGTAAGACGGAAAATTCTGTCAACAGACTTAGAGTAAAGCAAAAAATCAATTTAAATCATAAACAAACACTGTGACAAAGCTGCATCAAAATACTTTACTACAAGATGCACTCCGAGTTTAGCATCTATTTTCCGTGGGAAAGGAAAAACAGTGCACCTTTTAAAAACCAAAGAACTCTCGTATGAGTTAAACTGTAGATGGGAATTTTGAAGTGAACATGAATACGTAAGTTCTTTTAAACACTCCAAGTATAAACCTATTCCCAAAGCAGAATAATGAACAATCTTCACTCTGCTACAAAATCAAAATTTATCATCTTTCTCATTCTCATATGATGCTTTCCAAATTGTTGATCCTGGCAGAATGCAGTATGGCATGTCACATATGAACTTAACTTTGGCTTGGCTTGTTTTACTGCCAGAAGGAAATGCCAATTTTTTAAAATGAGAACAATGAACCTTTAGACCACATATAATAAATCATTGGAAAGGTGTTTTTGGGTTATGCTTTAAATGACTCCAACAGGTGTGGAGGTGGTAACTGAAAAGACAGAGAAGTGTCAAAAGTGAAAAAAAAATGTTGTTTTTGCTTTCCTGGTACATATAGGGTATACCAATAAACTGTAGCATAAATTGCAGCTCTCAGAGCATTGATTGTTGTAAGGCATCACCTCTACCAAAACAGTACAAAGACAACAAGTTCCAGAAGTTGCAGGAGTGGTAAATCAAGTCTGATATTGGAGGGGGCTATGATTTTATGCCTTCAGTGTGCAGATCTTTCAATGACCCTTTGGTTGTGAAAATTTCAGAAACTATGATTATATACTGAGCATGTAATAGCATCTTGTGCCCACTCTCAGGCAATAAAGGGTTTTAATATTTTCTCGAGCCAGAAGGTGGAGCATTGGAGTATAAAATGCAAAGACCTAAGGTCTAATTCAAACTATTTGGACACTGGCTTTAATAAAATGCAGGGCATGACATACATGGGCAACTAGTTACACCAACAGGGTGAATGTATGAAACACAAGATGAAACAGTACAGTTCACAAACCTAACCCTGGGTTAAGATTTACTTGGGTCACATTTTAGCACATGGTTTTGAAGCTAAACTGCCATTGAACCAAACTGATATCTGTGGCATGAAAATGCTTCCAGGATTCAACTTTTAAATGACTGTCCATATCATAAAATCAAAAGTGTTTTGCCTTACCACCAAACCAATATCCTAAATATTTTCTTAAAATAGAAATCATTTTTGGAATCACCTGATGTAAATTACTGCATGGAAATATACAAATGCATGTGTATTTATGTTTAAGTTGCAGCAGCTTATCCTACACATAAGTACACATGGAACTTGAACAAACCGATCCTTAAAAGTTTAAATGCCAGGGGTATTGCCTGGAAGGGGAGTGTTGAAGCTCTGAATTGATTACTGCATAAAGGAAAGCTAAACTTAATACATTACTGCTCAGAGAAATCTGTCTAATTCGCTGTTCCCCTTTACTGAAAGTAAGTCTGAAGAATATTCCCTATCGAAATCATAAAAATTTTCAAGATCTACAAAACCCTCACCTAAGGACAGGGATATTGAGTCTATGCTCTATGCTCTTTAGCAGTTCTACTTTAATTAATCAATTCCTTGTAACAGAAGAAATCAATCAAAACTCACAGAAAGTTAAGTGCAAAAAAAAAAAAAAGACCACTGTAAAACTTCTAATTTTGTATTGAAAAATTTCCCATTGAAAGTTATGAGGTTTGCATTTTTTCAAGTCATATTCCTCTATTAGGGAAAATGTGCCATTTCATCTGAAAATCTAAAGCTGAGAATGTTTCATGAAATAACAAAACATGATATAATCTACATAAAACATGATCACAGGAATATAAACCAAATCACTTGGCTGATATCAATAGAAAAGCCTGCCTGGGGAAAAACATTTTCATACAGTTGGTTCTGTACACATTCAGTATTGTGATCTTAACATCATAACCCAAGCAAGAGCAACATATCATATTAAATGAAATCCATGAAAGTCTCTTATGCAATACTTTTAAAGAAAAAAAAAATTTATCTTTTTTAGGCATATTTAATTAGCAAACAGTATGTTGCAAATTGTATTGTGCACATCACAATTACTTTAGACAATGCTAGTTGGTTATGGTAAAAATATCTTTTTTGTTTTCAGAAATTTTAACCCTTTAAAACCCTAACATCAGTATGTATATTCTCCTCACAGTTATCTAAATATTTCCTATGATGCTGACAAGGAGAATTTGCTTAACAATCAAGAGCTTCTACAGTTGGTGATTATCTCTCTTATCCTCATAACCTTAATCTTTGTTCACAAGTGATATCACTGGGGAAAATCTGATGCTGGTCACAATTGGGGGTCAAATAGTTAAATGTGTACCACTTGTTCTTAGTTTTTTACCTGCATAGTTCTGACACTTTTTTAGGCAGTAAGAAGTTGGTTGATTAAAGCCCTCTCAGGTGGGCAATATTGTATTTATTCAGCTGATATTGTATTTATTCAGCTGTAATAAGTTTCCAGTTGCAAGAATAACCCAAAACTTGAGAAATTGACAATGTCAACATGTCAGTTAAAAGACCCATCATCAGTCTTAGTGATTCACACATGCACAGTAACAGAGAAAATTCAGTCAGCCAACTTAGAGTAAAGCCAAAAATCAATTTAAATGATGAACAAACATTGTGAAAAGGCTGCACCAAAAAACTTTGACATAAGGTGCACTCCCAGTTTTTGGATTTATTTTCCATGGGAAAGGAAAATTTCAGTGCATCTTAACACTACAACCAAATAACCATTATACAGTAATCTGTGTATTGATCCTTACAAATGGGTTGCACTGTAGATTGCCATTTTGAAGTGTACATTAAATTTTTTTTTAAAAAAAATCCCACAGCAAAGCAATGAATAATCTACATTCCATGACAAAATCAAAATTTATAATTTTTGTAATTCTCTCATGATGCTTTGCAAATAGCTGATCCTTGCAGAATACAGTAGGCATGTCACATATGAACTTAATTTTGGCCTACTTTGTTTTACTGCCAGAAAGAAATGCCACATTTTTTAAAATGAGAATAATGAACCTTTAGATCAAGTGTAATAAATCATTTAAAAGGTATTTTTGGGTTATGCTATAAATGACACCAACAGGTGTGGAGGTGGTAACTGAAAAGAAAGAGATGTGTCAAAACTGAAAAATGGAAAACAAAACTTTTCTTTTTCCAGGTACATATAAGGTATACCACTAAACTATAGCTTAAATTGCAGCTCTCAGAGCATCCATTGTTATAAGATATCAACTCAACCAAAACAGTACAGAGAAAAAAGTTCTAAAAGTTACAAGAGTGGTAAATCAAGTCTTAAATGTGCAGATCTTTCTATGACCTTTTAATTGTAAAAATTTCAGAAAAAATTATAAAATATTGAGCATGTAATGGCATCTTGTGCCACATGGCACTCTCAAGCATTAAAGGGTTAAAATGTTTTCTCAAGCCAGAAGGTGAAGAATTGAAGCATAAAATTCAAGTCCTGGGCTCTAATTCAAACTATTTGGACACTGGCTTCTATAAAATGCAGGGCATGACATACATGTGCATCTAGTTACACCAGTGGGGTGAATGTAGGAGACAAGATGAAACACTACGGTTCACAAACCTAACCCTGGGTTAAGATTAACTTGGGTCAAATTTTGGCACACAGTTGTGAAGCTAAAATGCTATTGAACCAGATATCTGTGGCATGAAAATGCTTCAAGGATTCAAGTTTTTCATGACTGTCCATATCATAGAATCAAAACTCTTTTGCCTCATCGCCAAACTAATATCCTCTTATTATCATAAAATAGAAATTATTTTTGGAATCACGCCATGTAAATCAATCATGTAAATCATTGGAAATATGTATATATAAACCCTCACCTGAGGACACAGATATTGAGTCTCATTCACTAAGCTGTTTTGCAGTTCTACTTTAATTAACTAATTCCTTGTAACAGAGGAAATCAATCAAAACTCATGGAAAGTTTAGTGCAAAAAAAAAGCTACTGTAAACTTCTAATTTTCTATTTAAAAATATCCAATTGAAAGTTATAAGGTTTGCATTTTTTCTAGTCACTTTCCTCTATTTGGAAAAATGACCATTTCATCTGGAAATCTAAAGCTGGGGATATGTTATGAAATATCAAAACATGATGAAATCTACTGTACATGACACAATCACAAGAATGTAAACCAATTTACTTAGCTGATATGAATAGGAAAGCATGCCTTGTGAAAAGTATTTTCTGAAATGCTATAAAAGATTTGGATAGCTCACATCCACATTTTAACTGACATGATACTGATTAACTAGGTGCATTATTTTCAATCGTGCTCACTTGTATCATAAAAAACAATGCTTACCTTTAGTAGATGAATTTAAATGGTTGTGTAGCAAAACTTTGGTCCTGATTTCTGTGATACTACCCGTAGCACAAAGCCTATAAGACATAATCACATAACACTTATGTTATTCACTATTACACACAAAAACTTCACCAAAAAACTGACTGCATTTCTATGATTCAAACCATAAACTGTGCATAGAAATCAAATGCGGAAATGAGCCTGATTCAAGTAAAAACCCACCAAACTAACAAACATCAGGTTTACATATTCTGAAAAAGAGAGATCCCTCATAATTATATGCTTAGTAACCTCACTGGTGAGCGAAAGGTTCAGTTTCATCAAGAGAAACAATGGCAAACCGGGAAAACACCTCATTGAATGAAATGTGCTTACCAAAGTAAAATGCAACTTAGCACTCAAGTTAGTACAGAACTTATCATCTTAAAATTTATCATCTTTCTTATTCTCATATAATGCTTTCCAAATTGCTGATCCTTGCAGAATGAGAATAATGAACCTTTAGACCATGTATAATAAATCATTTAATCTTGGTATTTTTGGGTTATGCTATAAATGACACCAACAGGGTGGAGGGGGTAACTGAAAAGACAGAGAAATGTCAAAAGTGAAAATTAAAAGACAAAACTTTTAGTTTTCCTGTTACATATATATAGGGTAAACCAATAAACTGTAGCTTAAATTGCAGCTCTCAGAGCATTGATTGTTGTAAGATATCACCTGAACCAAAACAGTAATGAGACAAAAAGTCCCAAAAGTTGCAGGAGTGGTAAATCAAGTCTGATATTAGAGGGGACCATGATTTTAAAACTTCATTGTACAGATATTTCAACGACCTTTAAGTTATGAAAATTTCAGAAAAATTGATTAAATATTGAGCATGTAATGGCACCTTCTGCCATATTGCACTCTCATGCATAAAAGGGTTAAGATGTCCTCTCAAGCCAGAAGGTGGAGCATTGAAGTATAAAATGCAAAGACCTGGGCTCTAATTCAAACTATTTGGACACTGGCTTCAATTGAATACAGTGCATGACATACATGTGCATCTAGCTATACCAGTGGGGTGAATGTATGAGACACCAGATGAAACACTACAGTTCACAAACCTAACCAAGGGTTAAGATTATCTTAGGTTAAATTTTAGCAGACAGTTGCGACACTAAACTGCTATTGAACCAGATATCTGTGGCATGAAAACGCTTCCAGGATTCAAATTTTTAATGACAGTCCATATCATAGAATCAAAAGTGCTTCGCCTTACCACCAAACTAATACCCTCCTATTATCTTAAAATAGAAATAATTTTTGGAATCACGCAATACAAATCATTGGAAATATAGATGCATGTGTATTTATATTTAAGTTGCTGTTTGTCCTACACATAAGTAGACATGGAACTTGAACAAACCGATCTTTAAAGGTATTGCCTGAGAGGGGAATGTTGAAGCTCTGAATTGACTACTGCATTAGGGAAAACTAAACTTAATTATACATTACTGCTCTGAGAAATCTGTCCAAGTTGCTGTTCTATTATACTAAAGTATGTCTGTGAAATATTCACCTTGGAAATTACAAACATTTTCAAGATCTACCAAACCCTCACCTGAGGACAGGAATATTGAGTACTAGACACTAAGCTCTTTAGAAGGTCTACTTTAAATCATTAATTCCTTGTAACAGTGGAAATTAATCAAAACTCGTGGAATCAATGGAAAAGCTTTCCTAAGAAAAATTACCACTGGAAGCGGCATAAAAGACTTGGATAGCTCACATCCACATTTCAACGGACACGGTACCTATCAATTAACTATATTATTTTCAATCGTACTCACTTATATCATCAAAAACGATGCTTACCTTTCGTAGATGATTTGAAATGGTTGTGTAGCCAACCTGATGACCCTGATTTGACTGATATTACCGTCAGCGCAAAGCCTATAAGACATCATTACAAAACACGTATGTTTATCACTTTTAAGCACAAAAACTTCACCGAAAAACTTATTCGAACCACAAACCACGAGAGTAGAAATCGAACGCAGAAACGAGCCTGATTCAAGTAAAAACCAGCCAAACTAACAAACATCAGGTATAAATATTTCTGAAAATAAATAGACAACTCATAATTGTAAGCTTACTAACCCCGCTGGTGAGAAAAAAGTCCAGTTTTACAGAGAGGAACAGTGGCAAACCAATAACACGCCTCGTGGTAGAAAATGTGCTTACCGAAGCAAAGTGCAACTGCACTTGAGTTGAGTGCGGAGACTGGAACTAGCGCGGGATCTGACGGGCGAATACGAAGAGAATTATCACAAAATAACATGCCTTCCTGACAGAAGTATGGTGGCCTACAGAGGACATGCTATCCACTTTTTAATTCAGTTTATTGCACGATGAATGATAAATTATCGCGGAATGAATGGGAAACTTGTTAGGTCCCATGTGATCGGGTGTCACGCCCGTTGTTTCTGTGGACGAAACGACAATAGTTGCAACAGTTGGAAAGTTCTTTCTTGGTCTGGAAATTTACAAACCTACAATGTAATTAGAAAGATTAGATAATCCACACTTGTTCTCAGACACTGACAGCCATCTCTGAAAGTGTCTCTAAAGATTTCGTAAAATCAAGGGTTACTGTACAGATTCGCAGAGCTGTGTGTTGTAGAAGTATTGCAAAAACGAACTATTGACCTGACAACATACCTCCTCAACACAAGCGACTAAATACAGGAATGGCTCCGACCTGTGATTGGATAATAAAAATAGTAAAAGTTAATAAGTTATAGCTTAACTCCTTGCTCGTGAGTATTGTTAACCGTGTGTCTCGAAGCGGAACAATGAAATATCAATGCGAGTGAAAACACCGATGTATCAAACAAGAAATGGTTACTTACGTAGCGAAGGGAAGGAAGCCTTTCTTGCTCAGCGAGGTCGTACAGCGATATTCCGGCGATGAAAAAGTCATGTGCTGACTAAACTCATTTATAATAAAGTTCAGATATAACGCGCGCTGTCATTGGTTGAAAGAGCGTGCTCTATGAGAGTATAGAGCATAGAGCTGAGCTAAAGCTGTCACGCCATCTGCCAATTGTACCATGTTCGACCTTTTCCGGGACTTCTTTTTAGCTCTTTTTCGATGATTGAAAGTGAAATTTCGGAACAAGCGAGCCGGCAAGTAGTAACAGAAGAACCAAATAAAGGTTTGTAAACATACCAGGCGCCGCTATTTACGTTATTAAAACGTGGGCAGATACGAAAATCCTCAAAGGAAAAACAAAATAGACATTCCGAGTTTTAAAGATTTTCACGCTCAGTTAGATTGCAAGCTTACGTACGGTAATGAAAATCAAACACAGCCAACACTCGTGTAGCGGCACCCGTGTTCCGCCCTTTTTTACGTCATGTATGCGTCGCGGATTTCTGCTCATGCGCGCTAGTTTTGTTATGTTATTGACCACGCGGTCCGATGCTAGAGCCCGGAAAGGCGTAAGTTTTTACCTTTCTGCTTGCCGTTTTCCAGTTTTTCTGTATACCAACTGTACATTGGTATATCTAGTTTGACAGATTCACTTCTTTAGCGATTTGGAGTTGTATTACGCGTGTGAGCTTGAGCGCTGATTGGTTGAGAGAGAGGGCATTTTTTCTTAATCGAGGGCATTTTTAGTAATCAAGAGAGGGCATGATTACCTGTTAATGATTGGCTAATCCGTTGCATTGCTAATCCGTTGCTTCCCAGATAAAAATAGACTGCGCGCGTGATTTTCCTTCGTATAAATTTTGCCCTTTATTGATAAACAAGTAATCCCATGAGACCTCGTACTATTAAGGATTAATTGCACTTGAGTTTTCAAAATTTTCCAAATTGCCCTCGTCGCTTCGCGACTCGGGCAATTTTGGAAAATTTTGAAAACTCTCGTGCAATTAATCCTTAATAGTACTTGGCCTCATGTGATTACCTAATAACAGAACAGAGCACAGTCAAGGCTTCTCTATTTGTTAATTAGTCAGTTCAGGCGGACGATCAGAGACTGGAGCCATTCCTGTATTTCACCGCTGACAGGAATAGCTCCGACTCAAACGTTTATTAATTTTTTTTTCAATAATTTTTTAATAATTTTTAAACAATTTTTTAAAAAAAAATTTTAAAAATTTAAAACTAAACTAGTGAGCAGCGCTGTGCGAACAGTAGTTGTAAAACTTCTTTATTATCTGACGCGTTTCGTCTAACTGTCGTAAACTTCCTCAGGGAGTTTTACAAGTCAATACCAAACGCCTATATTTATAAGCCATTGTTAGCGGCCAATGTGGGGGCCAATGACCATAAGGGCTTGGCTGGACCTACGAGCAGGAATAGGCAAAGCTGTGAACAATTTGAAAATTTCTTCTGAAAATTTTTAAGGCAAGGTGAGAAATATTTTTTTGAGCCACGGTTTGAGCTAAAAATTTTCAAATTTGAAAAATTGAAGCGTTTTTTTACAGACGATGCCAGAAAGTAGTTGGCAAATTAGGTTAGGATGGCTCGTGTACTTTACAGAAAATGTGGTTTATGTTCTACTCATTCTTTCTTAAATTTAAGTGGTATAAATTCCTTGTCTAAAACAGTAGTGTGATACAATAGCAAACGAGATATACTCGTTCCAATACAGCGTCATGTGATGAACAGCCTTCATTAATTTTAGAACAAGTTTTATAAAATCATTTTACTCTTTCTTGTTATGGCAGAAAACTGTTCGAAGATTGGTTGTACCATCACTGCAAACAGTCAAGGTTCTTCGACATGATTCAGTGCGAGAGCTACTGCAACTGGCTTGACTGGTAAGACGTTTTTTTGGTTTGGTTTGTTTTTTTTCCTTTTTTAGGTCTAGTGGAGTTGTTAGAAATTACCAAGCAAAATCAATCCGCGACTTTCTCCCTTTAGGTGTTGTGCAAAAAAAGATAAAGAGCCCGATGAATGGATTTGTCCATGTGAACAACAACCTAGAAAATCAGTTTTCCACGAAAAAAAACTCCCTCGATTGCGGCCAAGCCTTATTTCTCCAGCAGAGCATGCTGTAAATTAAAAACATTGGTCGCAGCGTCACGCAACATTGCGTGATTTTCCAAACGTGTCATGCAGTTGCTGCATTATTTTAAAACTTAGAAACTACATGGCCCTGTAGTAATAAAAGAGGGCTTCATTTGCAAGCACTGTAGACTACAACCTAATAAATCGCTCTTTCAGTTTTTATCTCAGTGTATAAATTATTTAGCCAGAACGAAAAAAAAAATTAATATACGCATGAGTTGGAGCCATTCCTGTCTGCGGTGAAATACACGAATGGCTCCAGTCTCTGGTCGTCCGCCCAAACTGACTAAATGAGTTTTGTCAGCGGAGCTTGTCAGCGGATGACTTTTTCATCGCCGGAATATTACTGAACGACCTCGCTGAACAAGATGGACTCTGCCTTCTCTTCGTTATGTAAGTAGCCATTTCTTGTTTGACTCATCCGTGTTTTTACATTGGTATTTCATTGTTCCGCTTCGAGACACGCGGTGAACAATACTCACGAGCAACGAGTTAAGATATAACTTATTAACTTTTACTATTTTTATCATCCAATCACAGGTCGGAGCCATTCCTGTATTTAGTCGCTAGTCTCCTCAACTGTGGCGCCCATTGTCATGCACGGAAACAACGTGCGTGACAGCAGATTACGTGAGACCTAACAGGTTTCCTATTTATCACGCGATAATTTCCATTTATCGTGCGATATTTTGATTTTATCGCGCGATAAAAGAACATGTGGCATGTCCTGTATGGGTCACCGTACAAAAGTCATTCTTGATCTTAATCACTCACTAATGTTATTACAGATTCCGTTCATGTAGATTATGTAGACAAAATCTGACAAGCCAAAATTTTTTTTTAAAAGCTGTCTATCGTTACGGCAAAGCTGATTTTCCATCATATCATGCGATAATATCGACTCGAGTACAACTAATTACTTGCTGCAGTTGACATGCATATTCCTAAGATGAAGCTTAGCAGATATAAATCAGGACCACCTTGGATAGACAACGAATTTTTAAAGTTAGTAAGGAAAAAGAAAGCCCTATGGAAGTGACTAAAGGTGAATGGATCTGTTGAAACGACCTCTAAATTCAAGTTTTTGAGACAAGAGACTAAGAGTCTAATCTCCTTCAAGTATAGTCCGTATTTGAAGTCCCTTTAAATGAGGTCGTTTGGATCGCTGACAGGGGATATGCGAACCTATGTAATGCATATTATAGATGTTGAGAACCAAACTGACATGTTTTGAGAAAGCAGCTTTTAACTATAGGGTTAAATACCTTAAACCCGTAAGAGCGATTGGCATCTAATTTCTCCTTAACCCTTTACCCCCTAACATCAGTCTGCATATTCTTCATACTGTTCTCTATACATTTCCCGAAGCGCTGTCAAGGAGTATTTGTTAAAAAACCAAGAGCTTCATTAGTTGGTGATCATTTCATTGATTCTCGTAACCTTAATGTTTGATTCAGGGGTGATATTGTAAGGAGAAATTGAAAGCTGTTCACTTTTAGGGTTAAAGGGTTAAAAAATCACACCTGAATCATGAATAGAGAAAAGGATCACTAACTAAATAGGCTCTCGATTGTTAAACAAATTCTTTGTTTCAGTACCTTGGGAAATTAATAATAAACATTAAGGAGAATATAGATTCTGATGTTAGGGTGTCCTCCTGTCAGTTCCCCAAGTTATAGACTGTGTGGTGACACCCTTAAATTTCACGCTCTTACTTGGTGTAAAAGACACTGATGACGTTGAAAAATAGAGAACAAACAACAACAAAAAACCAGAAGAACGTTAACAAGGAAACCAGTATAAGCAATAGATTGATAATGCGATGTTCTGTTATGTGTCCTGTGTCTTTTATACCATGAAAGACCAAAATTTTAGGTGATTCAAATTAGGAATGGGTGAGGTATTTTCTACTCTTAATTTATAGGGTTTCCTGAGGTAAAAGTGTTTTGACTAGTTTATTTCATTAAGTATGCTTTGCATATGTTCGTTTGCATTTTAAATTTTTTTCTCATTTATAACTGCAAGGATATTGGAGAGGGAGATTTCCTGGTATTGCACCCTGGTGCGATTGACCATGCAACGATGCCCTGACTTACACGGGCACCTTACCAACTGACTACTAACAGCCACCTACTGGAGGTTAGGGCTATGCCCACAGAATTTCACATCGACTGGACATTGAATCCTTCTTGGTTTTAATTTTATTGTAAAACTACTTCACTTTGAGTGACTACAGGCCCACCTTCCCGACAAAAGAAAGTATTTTAAAAAATAAAGTACCGATAAATGTCTTCAAATTTCAAAAACATACACAAACTAATTTATATCCGAAAATCAGCGCATTGACTATCCATTTTTTTCTAAAAAATAATGTTGAAGAAACGATTCCTTCGCGGTCATTCTGGTTCCATCTTCAACCAGGCCGGTATAAGCTATGTACACATCCAATGGATATAAAGTTAGCTGGTTACCCATTTACACACATTTGAAACTACCTCTTTCATTAGAAAAACACGAGAGAATCACAGGTGGTACCACAAGATATTTCTCTCTTTTTCTCCAACAGTCTTACGCTGTAAAAGTAATTTTGCAGAAAATGACTTTAGAACCTTTCTGAGCCTCAACGAAGAACTGTACAATTTGTCAATACCTTTTTCGTTTTCATAGAGGAATCAATCTCACGAGTTAAACGAGTCGCAAATCAACACTTAATGAGACGCTTGCTGCACTCCGCTTCCATAGAACAATTTTCTTAGCTTGTAGCTGGCTGATTAAACACCAAAAGAGCAATAAAATAGAGCGTTAAATGTTCGTTTTAAGTTTACACTAGGAACAGTTAAAAATGTTTATAAGTCTAAACAAAAATCTTTTGGCAGCGTGAACAGCTCTCCAACTTAACCATGGCCCTTTAAAGAAAAGTATAATTAAATCCTTAAACAGCTTTGCCACTAAAATCATTCTTGTACTCGCTCCAACCTCGATCAGCGGTCTCTTCTGTTCAGAGGTCAGATCGTAACCACTCGAAAGCAAAGGAATCAGCGGAATACAGGTTTTCTGATCGACAATGTCTTTCCCAACTGTAAATCTATGTAGATGTCTTATTTTGGTAGGTTCAACCTAAGGTAAAAAATTCATCAATAGAAGTTTAGTCAAAGGCAACATCTCATAATAAGTAATAGAGTATTTTCAGTTGTATATTGTAGGTAAATTAACACCAAAACTGCATTTTTCAAGGGCATCTCTTTATTGGGTATTCTCATATGGCATCAGTCTCACTATTCGTCTATCAAAAAATCCTTCGCGTTGGTAAAAGCAAAAATCTTGCAAAGAAAGATAAAATATCGACGTGGTATCACCAAGTGTAACAGTAAAACGCAGAAACGGCTTATTGAGAAAAGTTTGGAAAACAAAAAGTGTAAGAAAACGAGTAAACATACATGTAAACAAAAAAATTCAAGCCGACAATAGTTAACAATTATTCACCGTAGTGGAGGTTAATGATGGTAGTCATTAAACGGGATCAGATTTTAGAATCATTTTCACCCACAAAAATTGTTGAATTTCCAAAATCGATGAATTTTTTACTTTAGAAATCGTCTCTACAGGAGACATTTGTCCTTAATATGTTTGTTGTTTTCGGAAATTGCAACAGTTATGATTAATTGGTAACAGTTATGATGTTAATTATAACTATGCGGTCGTCCGATTTTGTTAATCACTCGTATGATTGCAGAACGAATTGGACTCCACTCTGTCCTATTACCATTATTTATCATTAGTATCATCATAGTTATAATTATCATCATAACTGTTCTTATTACTACTGTTATCATTATTATTACATGTACAATCATCATTATCGCTATCATTATCACACTATTATTAATATCATAATTGTTATTACTACTATTAATACTAATAACATTATATCATTATCCACATTATTCTACTTCTGTCTTCAAATAAACTTTGTTTCAACTGACCTTTTCATGTTCTTCTTCTCTTTATCGCCTGGCAGCTTCACTTGAATGATTTCAAAATGGTTCTCGGAGTTTTCAAGGACAATTGCGACCAAGCGCTTACGAGGATAAGCTGCAAAACTTAGAACATATCGTTCCTCAACAATTTCACTAAGGAGATCACCAGATATAACGTTGTATAATCTAAGACAAAAACCTCTTGGATAATTCAAGCTGACGATGCAGTCCTCGTTACTGATAAACTTAATATCATTTGCAGCCATGATCTCCAATTCACAAATCACTTTTCCCGAAACTGCGTTGAGGACGTAAGAGCCAATTTCATCAAAAATGACGACGTATTCTTCAGTGGGAGAAAAAATAACAGTTACGTATAACCCGGATAGATCTAATTGAATAGAAGTTTCCCATATCACTTGGTTTTTACGCCACAGCTGCAGAGACTCTCCATCAGTAGTGGTTAGCACTTCACATTTATTATTACATGCAAAAAATGCACCACCAAAATTTGCAATCGTTGACACAATTTTTTCATTCGTTGTATCTAGAATGATCACTTCCCGTCTGCCATCATCGTCATTCACCGTTTCCAAGGCGACTAGTTCCTCTGATAAGGGTACAGCAACCCTGACAAAAAAGCCAGTCCACCTTTGCATGCAAGCAGACAACTCAGAGTTCCACAACTCAAGCGAGCTACCATTTGTTTCGAATAGGACACCTCTTTTGACGGGCACAAGACGAAAACGCCTTCCGATAGTCAGACATGCCTTGCGACTAACCCTTTTACTTAAAACATCGCCAGTCACAAGATTTATTCGCTGGATCCTTGTACCCACCACGGTATAAAGAGAGTTACCATCAACAGAGAAATAAACGCTATCTGGTAGTCCAGAGTAATCATCTCCAGCAGAACCGTTTTCCTCTATGTCCTCAAGTAGAGGTTCCTGATCATCTAGGAAAGAGAGAACAGAATAAGGATCAGGGTAATTTAGTATTATCAACTGAGTTGATAGCGTAAATTGGCCATCGTAAAGATTTTAAAAGCTAACTCTCGGAACGTCAACGTCAGCTTTTAAACTCTTTACGGTGGCCAATTTACGTTATCAACTCATTTGATAACACTAAATTACCCTCAGACATGGTTTGATGCTACTTTGGTTTACAGATTTAATGATTGTAACCGAAGAAGTTACAATTCATAGACTCAACGTTTCGACACTCCTGAATTCTACTGAATTCAAATGCGATAGGAGGCGCTCCGCTTCATTTCCGGATTTTGGGAGGAGGTTTAGCACGCCTGAGTATGTTGTGTATGTGGCGTAAAAACCAAGTATACACATATATTTCTAATGTCCTAAAGGCAAATGGCTATACGAAAACCTTTCTCCGTAACTGCCAAAAACCAGTTACAACTAGTAACTCTCTTGATGAAAGGGAACTAGCGACTGGTTTTGCTGTTATTCCTTACATTCAGGGTGTTACAGAACCCATCAAGAGAATTTTGAATAGCCACAACGTTTAAGTTGCTCAAAAACCTTTTCAGACTTCGGGGCATATTTTTGCCAAACCTAAGGATCCTGTCACGAAAGAACAACGAACCGACGCCATTTATTCTATTCCTTGCAATGACTGTGACAACGTATACATCGGACAGACCAAACGTCAGTTTGGTACACGTTTCAAAGAGCATCAAAAAGCGGTTTTCTTTTGCAAAAAGGAAAATTCAGCTTTATCGGAGCACACATGCCTAACTAACCATACAATTGGGTGGGATAATTCTAAAATTATCACCGCTAATCGGCGTTACCACCAGCGCCTTTGTTTGGAGGCTTGGCATATTAACTCCGCCCACGCTCCTCGAAATCGTGACGATGGCGGCTTGCTTACTGACGCTTACTTACACCTCGTCAGAAAAAAAGGCAGCTAATTAGTGATCATATAGAAGGACCTCTTGTTGCAGCGTTTAGATCACCCCTGATGAAGGCACTAGACAGGAGTGTCGAGACGTTGGGTCTATGAATTGTAATTTCTTCGGTTACATTCATTAAATCTGTAAACCAGAGTAGCACCAAACCATGTCTGATTGTCCATCTGGTTGCCGTGTGAACTTTAATATATTAAATTACCCTGTTATACACTTCCACCGACGCAGCACCACAGTTTCTTTAGAAACTTACCCCCTTTAAAATAAGGATCAGCTCCATTCTCTGATAAGCTGCATAGACCAATTTCCAATCGTTGTGATGGTTCATCGAGTTTGAGCCTCTTTTCTGATGGGTCATTAAATTCCGTTCGTTCTCCCACAAAGTCATCAAATTCACCTTTCTTTTCCGTAGAGTTGTTAAGTTCCATTGTCTGTTCAACTAGGCCACCCAGTTCAGCCATCTGTTCGAGTAGGTCGTCAAGTTCAGCTCTCTGTTCTGATGGATCAACAACTTCAGCTCTCTGTCCTGACAGAACATCGATTTCAGCTTTCTGCTCCGGCATATCGTTGATTTCTGGTAGGTTATGTTCCGTTAGATCGTTATTTTCGGCTCTCTCTGTCGTAATGTCACCGGGTTCTGTGCTTTGTCCTGCTTCATCGCTACTCTCACCTCTCCACTCCCTTATGTCATTAAGGCTACACATTTCAATCACTTTACTGAGAGGGGAAACTCTTAGTAACAACTGCTTTTTCAATACAAGTACAAAATCTACAGATGGGAATATTCTTAAAGATGAATTCCAAAAGGGATCTCCTGACAAGAAACCACTCTCATTGCAAGTTTCAAATTCCGAGGCGTACTGGTAGGGACTCGTCCTAAAAAAGCGATCCAAACTACATATTGACTTAGTGTTTCTGTCAATATCTAAACAAAAAAGCTTGGGCTTCGGAGACCAAACATGTTCATCCTCATCCAAAACCAAACAGAAAAAAAAACGGCTGTCAGGAGTTAACTTAACATATTGTGACCAAGCAAAAGCCCGTATCAGAGTCTCAGATCCATCGTTCATGTCAATGAGGTATACGCAGTGGTCAGAATCAGCGATCGCCATCCGTCTTCCATCAGCAGACCAAGCAAAAGATACAATATCGCATTCGTGTGCAAAACAACGAATTTCGCTTCCATCTTTTAGACTCCATTGGACGACGCAATTCCCTCGGTTCAGACAGTCCGTCAGCATCGTGGTTTTGTCACCAGATATTGAACAAACTTTAAACCGGCACTTGCTCGCAGGGAAAAGAGGTTTCACGTCTCCGGCCAAGGTATAACCCTGACACAGAGTCCCTGATAGGATCAGGTTTAAGGTTGGATGGAAAACTACTGACCGGGAAAATGGATGAAAGGAAAACCCACTGAACCCAGGTACACCCCAAAATCATTCTCTGATACCGGCGCAGAACGTGTCCACATTAGCTGGGCAGTACGGAGCGACCACAGATGAGTTGTGCCATCGAAACACTCGCAAACCAGGTAGTCTAGATTTGGTGAGACATCAAAGCAGACCACGCAGTCTGAAGCAAAAAACCGCATTAGAGCATCTGGTCTTTTTTCCTTCTTTCGCAAGTATTCCATATATGGTAAGTCCACATATTTAGTGTTCAGCAGGCTTAATGCCTCCGCAGACAGTTCAGGTCCTCCTTTATTCAACAAGATTTGAAAGATGGCGTGAGGAATTTTTGATAGAGAACTTAAATGCTTCCGCAACAGCAACAATAACGTCTCAAGGGCTTCTCTGTAATTCTCTGACAAAGCATTTGTATTTTCCTTTTCTTGTACGCAAAGAACATCTTCAGTGGCTGCTGTACTCTTCACAGTTAGCTTTGCATAGACCAATTCTAGGTCCAAAACATAATTCTTAACAATGTTGTCGAAGCTACATAGCCGAGCATTCTCTTCTACCTCAAGTATATGCTGAACACCATGCTGCAAGGCATACCTCGACGTCTGTTTCAGTGTTGAACTCTGGATCTCTTTAAGTTTCAAATCATCTAGTTCATCTCTGCAAAGCTTTGCAATGACGCGATGACATTCTTTTCCGCTAACAGTAAACTTCTTTTGCCTCGAAGTAGTCTCCTCCACCAACCAGTCCTTGACTGACTTGTGAAAGAAGTTAATGCACTCACCCTCTATGGGTAAAAGAGCCGAGATACAATCAACTGCGTCTCGTACTTTTTGCTCATCAGCCGATGACCATTCTTTTGAAAGGAACAACTTATAAACAAACTCAACTGGTAATGGTTCTCTTGCTGCCACGATGGTATTTAAAAAATCAAAGAATTGCTCTTCGGTGATTCCCAGTTCTTTGTGCATTTCACTTTTCAGGCGTTTGAAATAGTCTTGATAAACGGAAGAAATACCAGATGGCAAGCCGCTGTTTATCACTTCAGCAACACTCCCACGCGCAGCATTCTTCTTAATGAACTCTGTCAGGTAATAGGTATACAACATGACTCCTTCCGACTTTTCAACAAGCTTCTCTAAGATAGCATCTTGGCAATCGCATTGCAGAACATGTCCCAGTTGCTTTTGAAAGCAAAGCCTAACGTCCATCAAGTTTCCTTGATCGTTTGGGTTCAGCTGTATGGGATTTAAGTCTTGAATCTTCTCTGAGATGTTTATTTCAGGTCGCGTTGTTACCACAAATCGAATCCAATACGGAAGCGTCTTGAAGTAATCAGCAATCACATTTAAAAGCTCATTACGCCCCTGGTATTCACTTTCGTCTAAGCCATCTATAACCATGAGATGGATAGAGCCTGGGTCTTTCAAATCTGAAAGAGGTTCTTTAAACAAGAATTCAAACAGTTCTTCCACTTCCAT